GAGAGAGAGAGAGAGAGAGAGAGCGAACGCGTGGTGGATCGTGTGCGGCCACTCGGTGAATCGGTAACTGCACTTTGCTCGATCGGTCGCGCGAACCCTCGACTCTCAGAGGTTGTTGGTCAATTGCTCTGTACGCGTGTGTCAGTGGTGTGGGTGATTCTCTCGTGTGATTCGACACACCGTTTCGCGGCCGACCATGGAACCGCGGAGGTTCCGGATACCGAAGGCTAGCTGATGGGTCCGCCGACGCGATCGGATGTCCGCGCGGGAGGGTAGGAGGTACTACGAGCCGCTGGATGAAAGTGAAAACGAATCGGACCGGGACACGGGGGGGATGAACGAACGAGGAATACGCTGCGTGGAGAACGTCCGATCGTGTGAGACACAGACACCGTAAGTGTGCTACACGTACTATGCTCTGTTTCTCTGTCTGACTTTCGACGATGAGTAATAGCCCCTCGTTTCCTTTCTTTGTAGAGAACGTTCGTGTTGAATGGTAAAAGTAGAGCAAGGGTAGAAGTAGAAAGTTCTTGGACAGATCATTGCTTGAATCTCCTTGTTCCTCGCGTTTGACTCGCGTTTCAAGTGACGAGACAAAAATCCAGGGATATTTACATCCGCGTTTATGCGTAACTGCGCCGGTAGATTCGATCGGAACCCGACCTAATTAAGTTTGTTTCCCCTTGCGTTATCGTCGGATTCCAAAAGCGGGTTTTTGCATCCCCGCTGATACAGCGTACAAAGGTGGCAGCCGGACCTAAGTGGTAAAATCGGTTTGCGTGCACTCGCCGTAGGCTTGTTTTCGTCGCACGCGTTAGATAGAGCAACGAAATGGGCTATCGACGCAAAAAGCCAATGAACTGCCGGCGAGCATGAACGCGGATGGAAATACCTGCCTTTCCCGGCACGCGATATAAATGACGGAAAATCGTTGCTGCGGATCGCTGGGAAACGTATGCCTCAACAATTGCACGACTCTGCCTATGGAATATCTCCGTATCGATTCTCCTACGTGCACCTCGTTTGAAATCGTTTCACGTAACACCACGACGCAACATTGTTCCGTACACGAACGATGACGTCAGTGTGAGAATTAGAAAATGAAAAAGATCGCGAGGCAATTAATCGGTTCGTTTTCAAAAAGAATTTCGAAGCAACGAAAAAATCGCAGGAACCCGCGGGCAGATTCGCACGACGATTCTTCGTAGACATTACCGGCTTTTCCCAACGGAGCAGCGAGAAAGAAATATACGAAGCCAGCATCTTACCCCACGTTATTTCTCCCATGGCCCGTAGTAATGTCGTGATGTGCACGGGGAGCCGTTTGATGGAGAAATATTCCACGCCACGCACGCTGGCCGTAAAACGTTCGAGGAACGAGAGGGTCCGACCCGGCATGGCGAGCCCGAACAGGAAGAATGTTCATTGACGTTCAGGCTTCAGACGAGATCCTGGCGAAGTGGCGTCTCACTGGCCGGCGACTGGATCGCGCACAGAAAGACAAATGTTTCCCAAAGGTACGACCCGCTCTAACTCTAAGCTTTTCGATTCCACCCGTTGCATTTTACTTGCAAAGTATCTCCCTATTCCGCGGCAGACTACGTCTATCCCTGCTCTATTGAGCAGATTTTTTTTAGGCAGAGGAGCTTACCGAAGCTCTAGTTGCCAAAAATAACGGCAATAACCGCCACGGGAGAAATACGCGATTTCTCTCGGATAACCGAGAATAAGCGGTAATTGTCTCGAGTCTCTCAGGCGAGAGGGGAGCGCGGTTTTCGAGGATACACTTGGAGGAAGGTGGTATCGAAGGCAACCAGGCTTTCACGAGGCCAGACTCGCGGAATCTACGGAGTGGCGTATCCGATGCCGAGAAAGTTTCACGTCGGATATCCTGTTACCGCGTTAACTAGAAGCTCCGCCGTTAAGTTCTCCACGTTCGCGTTTCGAAACAACCAGAAAGCTGCAAGAGCTACGAGAGAGTCAAGAACGCACAAGTCGCGTGTTGCTTTGCAAGATTGATTTCGAATCGGCGACCCGTTCGCGTCGATCGGGTCGATCAAGTCGGACTTAATTAGACGGCGAGAAGAGGCGGAGGGGGAGGGACGAGAGAAAAAAAGCTCGTTCGCGTCGACGAGATTTTTCTTCGTGCGCGTTTTCTCGATGCCGGTGGGGTTCGCCGCGAGACCGACGACGAGCCTCCTAGTTTTAATTAAAGTCGGAGTCGCAGCTAAGGCAATTAAGTCGAAGACAAACGGGAGGCTCCATTGAATTTCCTAGCTTTCGTAATTAGTTTCGACGTAACTGAACTCAGTTAGCAGGCGTCCGATAATCACGCCTATCCATGACGTGGATATCCTCCCCCTTCCTCCGCGACGATCGAGATTTCGAAGGAACCTGAGAATACTCATTCAAACATTCGCGGTCCACTTGCAAATCAATTAATCGTCCGCGATTAATGTCAATTTCATTCAGCGAACGCTAAATATTCATTTACGTACGTACCGAGGACTCCCTGGACAGCCTGGAAAAATCGCGTGTCCGTTTTCCAGGGAAAAGTAGCACGGATGCCGGACGTCCGCGGGGCGGAAGAAGGGTGAAATTTTAATTCGCGCGCGGACGTTTGATATTCAGAGATCCGGGACGGGGAGGTATTCACGGTCTCACGTATCAGCACACACGGCAGCCCTTCTTTCACCCGGGCGCATTTTTGTTTCGCGTCAACGACCAACGACTCTCTTGTTCGCTCGCGGGAAACGAACGAACGACGGAGAGGGACGTATAGGCGCGATGACAGCGGAGGATAGCGGAACGGGCGAAAAGAAAAGCGCGGGGTGAAGGGAGGGGGGCAGGGGCGCCAGATGATAGAACGAGACGACGATCTGTCATTCAAGGACGATTCTTTCAGGCTGCAAACTCGCTGGATTGTGTGTGCAGGGCCACCCTCTTTAGAATTCCCCGTCGGTGGAGCAAGGAGCTCGTAAAAGACAAAGGGGGTTGGCAGCACAGGGGCGGAGAGAGAGAGAAGGCGCCGCGCAAGGGAGGCACAGAGGAGGCACAGCGAGAGCCGAGCAGGAACGAGAAAGGAAATAAGAAAGATGGGAGAGAGCTCGCCGGATCTCAGCCTCCGGCTCCGCCGGGGCAGCTCCGACTCCAGGGATTCCTTCTACATGGATTTCGCCCAGGTACCAATTCCAACGCGATGCACCGATTATCTTTCACAGATATCTTCCCCCTACGCGCGCAAAGGGCAAACGGAAGATTTCTATTATTATTGCAACACGAGTTTTCGAACTTTTCGTTAGCTCGATCCATCTTGATCGACTGCTGGTCGATCAAAAGAAGAAGAAGAAGAAGAAGGAGAAGGGGAAGAGGAATAGGAAGAGGAGAAAGGGAAAAAAGGGTAGGACGGAGATGAAACTTTAACGAGATGCTTTTTCATCGATGCAGGCTGACTTTGAAAGAAAATTGTGAAACGCAGTGATGACTACTCGTTGCTCGCGGAAGTAAGTTACCAAATCTCTTTCAAAGTTACTCCGTATCTCGACGAAGAAGATTTCACGAATCTTTGGAAAAGAGACAGTTTCAATCTAACCTGACCTAAGTGACCAAGGTGTTAGACTTCGTCTTACTCACGACGGTGATTCTTCTAAAAGAGTGACGATAATTGATATGGACAGGGCATCGACTCGGACATCGAGGAGGTGACGCGTCCGGGAGAGAACTCGGACCCGATGATGGACAACCATCTGGAGGAGAATGGGAACGAGCTGCCGCCGATAGAGGACATCACCACGATCCCGGAGGAGGCTTCGGAGGAGCTGCGCGAGGAGGAGGAAGCCGCGGCGATGGAAGCCGCGCTGCGAACACCCGAGGGCCCAATAATTAACACGGAAGCGGAGAAACCAGCGCAGCAACCCCCGCCGTCGCAGCTCTCCACACTCGACCCGCAAGAGTGAGTACGCGTCGCAAAAGTCCCGACGAATAAAATCCACCTACATTTCTTTGCGTAATACCTTAATCCGCGTCGT